TATCCTACCTCGCACTACTATGGCTCGGGTCGAGTGTGAAGTAAGCCTTCACTTCTTCTTTGGTCGAAGTACGCTCCCCTGTAGCCAGAGCATTGCCCTGAGCTGACGCCCATGCATAGATGGTAGGCCCCTGACTAACTGGGGCCTCCGTTGAGGCAGAGTGGCGTATGTTGTACTCCCCTTGTTTTAAGGGTGCTAAGCTCTCTTTCTGAGTACACTGCCGTGGGCAATGTGATTAGGCACCAGGATGCCGTAGGCGCTGTGTAAACAGCTTTTCTGCCAACGAAGGCTGCGCCATCAGGTAGTAGGCCTCAGCAGGCCTCCTTGTATGGGCAGCTCCCAATAGGGCGCTGTAGGCCACTTCTCGAGAGAAATGGTTGGCCTTGGTGGTTCGGGCAGTTGGCTCACCGGTGGGTAGTAGGCCTTAAACAGGCCTCCTCGGAGGGGAGTCCCAACATTGTGGGACATACTTTATAGCCGCTACAGGTAGCTAGCCTTACTAGGCCGCCTGTGGGTGGGCCCAATAGTTACGTTGGTGTAGTGTGGTTCCCAACAGTGTTCATTTGTAGCAGAATTGACTTGTTATCAGCTAGTAGGCCCAACCAGGCCTCCCTGATAGGCGAGTCCCCAGCTGGCTGGCCTTAGCAGGCTGCCTTGGAACTATCACCCGGACTCAGCTACCAGTTGCTATCAGGTAGTAGGCCACTCAGGCCTCCCTGAAGGTGAATTCCCATTTAAGATGGTTATCAGGTAGTAGGCCTCGCCAGGCCTCCCTGAAGACGAGTTCCCACATGCTGTGATTATCAGGTAGTAGGCCTCACCAGGCCTCCCTGAGGGTGAGTTTCCCACGTACTGTCGTTATCGGGTAGTAGGCCTCTCTAGGCCTCCCTGTAGGTGACCACATATTGTTGCTATCAGGTAGTAGGCCTCTCCAGGCCTCCTTGTAAGTGGTTCCCTAGCGGTGCTGGGTTCAGGAAGCTAGTGGCTTCTTGCTATCATTTCAGCTGGCCTTATCAGGCAGCTGCTGAAGGCGAGCTTGTGCCCTGGCTCGACTAAAGTGTTCATTCTCTGCTACTGGTTCCCTCCTGGAACCTCTTTCCTGCCTACAGCCTGGTTTTGCCTACCAGGGGGACCATATGCTCCCCTCATTGAGGGTCACGGTGAGCACGCGGACTCCTGAGTCTGGTCAGACGGTCGTAGGCCTCTCGTGAGGCCTCCCAGTTAGATCAGTCCTTTAGGCCTTCACAGGCCTCCTCAGTGTTTTGAAACACAGACACTGGGTTGATCCGTGGATCGAGTAGAGGAACTCCCCTCGCTAGCAAGGGTTGGAAAGCACTATGCTGAGTCATACTCTCCGGGATATCCCGTCTCTGAGATCCGGGCCGAGTGGTTCACTGCCAGCTTCGCAGTCCCTCGGGTTGGATGCCTTACCTAAGGCAAGTGTCCAGAGGCTCTGTTTTCGAACAGACAGGAAGTGGCCAGACTAAGTGTCTATGCTCTGACGCCAGGTCAGGCCGTCCTGGTGGCACTTCGGGGTGAGTACGTTCCCCTGAATAGTGACTGGCTGGGGTTCCTTCGGGTTCCCTAGCCACATTCCCTAGAAGGGACCCCTTCTAATTGAAGTTGTGGTCCTAGGCCTTTGAGCAGGCCCAGGTAGGCCTTTCATTTAACCACGTTTATGGAGGTTTTCCTGCTAGGCTTATAGCTTGGGCTATGACCGTAGGGAATGCTGTCACTGACAGCCCAGTGTGACCTGACGGTGAGTGGTTCTAGCGTTTCATTTGAAATTGCTGGTTCTGACAGTTGTCACTGCCTTTGGGCATGCACTCCCTCAGCATGGCGGAGTGGGTATTTCGTTCCCCATAGCGTCGAATGACGTATTGTTGAGTTCCCTTCGAAAGGGAACGTCTCAGGTTACGACTGTAACCTTTGTTCCCTGAGAACAGGGAACGAGACAATACGTCTCCCTGCCATGCCTCGGGGCTTGCCTGCCGTACAGTCCCTTCAGACGATAAGGTGATTTGTCATGTTTGCAAGGCGCCCTTATATACTTCCAGGTCGCACGTTAATCATTCACGCTAATGATTCACGGGCTGTCGCCGGTCAATATGATTGACGTGATTTGATAGTGATTTCAGACACCTGTCACGCCTGAGGCGTTCCCCATAGCGTCGAATGACGTATTGTCTCGTTCCCTGTTCTCAGGGAACAAAGGTTACAGTCGTAACCTGAGACGTTCTCCTCTGGCCTAATAGAAAAGATTCCAACAACCCCAAACACAGAGAGGAGGTATTTGCCTTGTTTTAGATGCTCACTACTGGTTTTGTCTTAGGAAACATAACAGGAGCTATATATATAAGAGGAACTAGTCAAGTCAAGTCATCTTCATTTAAATAGCGCTTTTAACAATGAATTGTTTCAAAGCAGCTTTACAGAGATAAACATATAATTTAAGGTAACAGATTGTTTTGGCGTTATAGCGGTTCTTGAATAATGTTACTTCCAGCTAAAGTTAACTTTGATTGATTCACCTCCGTCGAAATGATCAGACTTTAAACGCGAACCTGTGATTAACGCTGATGGCGTTCACATGCTCATTCAGAATTCTATAGTTATGTGCTTTTTAAAATATGTGCGCAGGTTTGTAATTCATACAACCCAGCCTAAACAAACTACTTTCTTGCCTATAAATTTTGATACAGAATTTTGTTTTATTTTATCACTTCGGGGTACGCGAGCCGGAATTCACAGCGCTTTATCTGTAGAGTGGGAAAGGGATCCTCCATAGGGAGAGGATAGTGGATACTTCAGCACTGCATTGTCATCGGGTCCAGGCGAATCTCCTTCGTCAGATCTGGACACGGCCTGGATCCGGCAGGCTGCGGGAAAACCTCGGGATAAACAAAGACACTAATATTAGCGTAGATGCCATTCTTCTTATGATGTAGCGAGTACATCAAGATTTAAGGGAAGTGTTCCCAGTTCCGGCTGACCTAATCTATGCAGCCTAACATTGAATTTATAGAAGTCTATAATGCATTATGTGTATGCTAGGTCAAAGAGATGTGTTTTTAGTCTAGCTTTGAACTGACAGAGTGTGTCTGCTTCCCGGACAATGGTAGGAAGACTGTTCCAAAGTTTTGGTGCTAAATAGGAAAAGGTATATCTATCTATCTATATAACTAGTATATCTCTTTAGCTTGCAACTGTAGGTTGTGCAATTTTGTCATTTTGTCACTGTGAGGGAAAACAAAGTAGAGCAGAGCAGCGTACACTCCACCTCAATTAAAGGCGATGTCTGCCACTGGGAGATGCTGAAAGCTCTGAATGGGACGAGAGAGGCTGAAATGGACACTGAAGCGTGACTCATACACACAGACCTTTGCTCATAAGACCACTTCAGATTCCATTAAACTACAGGCTTTGTAGTACTTTTGAACACTTGTTCCTTTTTTGTCCTCTGGATACAAACTGAACTCCTTTAAATGGACCGGTGGGACATGGAAATCGATTGACAGAAAACCATTGAAGACTGCGGCACAATTAATGTAAATTATTCAGTCTACCACTTTAAAACAGCCAAAAATGTATCCTGAATTGAAGGTTATTCTAATGTTACTGGAAGACTTTTCATCTTTGGTATACATGCTGCTAAAATAAACACACACAAAAAGTTTTACTTAAAAAGAACTGATCAAGGTGACATGACCTTGCAAGCTAAAGGTTAAGTGTGTAATTTATGAGCCATTAGTTGCATCAAATGTAATTGCAAAATAATTCACATTTCCTGAAGTATAATAATCCAGATAAACCACAAACAACCTTCATTTTAGGAAGGTTTAGGTTTTAGACCCTGACTGACAGGGTCCCTAAACAGTGTTCACTGCTTCCTGAACATGGGATATCAGTCGAAGTTCACTTCACTTGACAAAATACATTCATTCGGATCACCCTGCAACATCAAACACATACAAAACTTGCATATTAGAGAAGTTTGAGGTATGATGACATAATATTCTTATGTAAATAAATACAAATTACCATACTTGTGTAATATAAATGTGTATATGATACATGTATTTACAACCGCAAATCCAGAATATTTTGTAAAATGCAATAAAATCAATGATTTGTGTTGAATCTGTTGAATCACAGAATCTGTGATTTGTTAATTCTCTTTAACCTTTATTTAAAAGTACAAAGAGAAGGTTTTCATTGATCAACTTAAGTGTATTTTGCAAATATAAACAAATTTTGATTTTGATGGCTGCAGCACACTCCAAAACAGCTGGGACAGAGGCATGTTTCCCACCGTGTCACATCACCTTAACTTTTAATTACACTTTTTAAATGTTTGGGAATTGAGGAAACTAAGTGCCGTTTTGCAAGTAGAACAGTCTGCAGTTTGATACAAGACAGTTGCTCAACAGTCTGTGGTCATTGTTGTGTGATTCTCCTTTTCTCCTCCTCAGAGACAGATCTGGACTGCAGGCTGGCAGCCAAGCACATCCCTTCTATGGTGTGGAGCGTCTAGAGACCGCTCTGTTGTAGCATGTGCTGAATCAGACCTGGCATTGTCTTGCTTCCCAGGAAAGATGTCATCTTGATGGCAGTAATGTCTCGGTGCAATCCCAATATATGCCTCGACGTCAATGATACCTTCACACATGCAAGTCACCCATGCCGTTTGCACTGAAGCACCACCGTACCATGCCAGATGTTTGCTTTTGTCCCTGTCACTGATGAAAGTCTGGATGGTCCTTTTCGTCTTTGGGACTGAGAACTCAAAGTCAGTTGTTCCCAAAGACAAGCTGAAACATGGATTAAACTCACCACAGCACACATTTCTACTGGTTTGGATCATCTGAGAGGAGCTCGGGCCTAGAGAACTGGCCGGCATCTCTGCATAGAACTGATGTATAGCTTTCGCCTTGAATAACAGAGATTCAATTGGCATTTCTTAAAGGGTCACTCCACCCATTTGCATTAAGAGGTCCATTGTTAGACAACCAGTCATACTATTGAATGGTCGTGCAACATTCTTTCATTTTCCCCTGAGACGAGAGAAATCTACTATTTACCTTTTTCACTTCCTCCTACAATGACGCAAAAATCGTCATTTGACGTCATTGTAGGAGGAAGTGTAAAAAGGGGGGATTTCTGTATAGACTACAAGCACAAATTCCCACCCTTTCAAACCCGCCCATAGGGGGTTGGACCTAATGCGCTAACAGAGCTATCACAGATCAGTGGGTGGGACTTCACTTGCAGATACTGAAAGCAATATCAGCCATCTTGTTTATAAGCTAAGCTAACAAGCGCTGTGGATATAGGAAGTTACGACAATGACGGAAGAAACTAAACATGATATGGAAGAAGAGGATTTTGAAATTCTGCTGCTCGAATCCGCTGTTCGTGGCTATCTTTACGAGCCCCAATATAGTGAAGAGCAGCTGAGGCTGATGGTGGAACAGGAGGCGGCTGCCTGTCGCGGACGAGGAGCCCGGGCTGGCTCGAGCTGGGCGGACTGCTGGTGCGTGTGCTCTCGCTGTGCGCTACGGACACAGATAGAGTCCGTCTGCTGCAGAGAATTTCAACAAGGCAGTTTCTCCTGGACGAAATCTCTGAATCAGACGACCACACGGACGTTTGTGTTGTGATGTGAACCATCCTAGTTTCGCCTGACTGAACATGCAGGTATCATGCAATAATTCACCATATAGAAAGAAATACAAACGAGTAATTCACTAATGAGTTTGCCAATGTAACGGGGTTCGTTGTTGTGGGAAGAAGGAGGCTGGAACCGGCGAACATTTAAACGTTTTTAAAGTAAAATAAACAAATACAAAACAAAAGTATAAGCCAGCTGGCCACACACAACAGAAACAAAACATAAAATCAGGCCTGTTCCTTTTGTGCTTCCGCTCCTCCGTGAGAGATATGAGACCGCTGCACAGGTGCCATTCATTATCACTCGCGTCGTCCTCTCACGTCCCTCGCCCTCGTCCTGCTCGCCACAACTAACTAGACATTTTTTGTGAAATGAATTTTAAACTCATTTGGCAGCTAGCCTTCTTGTAGACGGAAGAGCGATTTCTCTGATGTTTGCGCTGTTCTGGATTAGTGGGAGTGGCTTGCGGAGCTGTGCAACATGGTGCATTGTGGGAGTTGTTGTCTTACATACAAATGCGCCCCAAAGTTATTTTCTGTCTTTTCTCGGTCAAGAGGGCACCAAATTTAAAATTTCTTTTACATTTCGACTACATATATAACCCACTTTCAATAAAGATTAATGTTGAAATGGGTGGAGTGACCCTTTAAGTGTTAAGTTAAAACGGTTTTCCAAAGTACTCCCGAGCCCATGTAGCTATATTTAACACACAGTAGCATTACGGTTTGTCATGCAATACCATCTGAGGGCTCAAAGGTCACGCACATTCAATAGAGGTCTCCTGCCCTGCCCTGCACAGACTGAGATTTCTCTGGATTTCCTGATTCTTTCTACAATATTATGTATGGTAGATGGTGAAAGACCTAAATACTTTGCAATCTTGCAGTGAAAAAAATTGATTTTAGAATTGTTTGACAATTCCCGCATGAAATGTTGCGCAAAGTGGTGAGCCATGACCCATCTTTGCTTGCGATAGTCTTTGGTAGATGCTCCTTTTATACCCAAACACGATACCCTCATATATTACCAGTTCACCTGCTCATTGTGGATGGTTTCAAAACAGATTAACTTGGATATTCCATAGTCTTTTCACTTTTATTTTGCCTCCGTCCCAACGTTTTTTGAAGTGTGTTCAAAATCAAAATTTGTTTATATTTACAAAATACAATTAATTTGGCCAGTGAAAACATTGGAATTTTTTTCTTTGTACTTTCGTCAATTAAATAAAGGTTAAAGAGAATAAAAAAATCTAAGATTTTTGATTTTATTACATTTTACAAAATGTCCCAAGTTTTATTTTGAAACTGTAAAAATGTAATTTGGTTAAATTAGGTGTGTCTTTTATTTTCTATTCATGATCATAGTGTTTTAGCTGTTGCGTCTTGCGCATTTTATTCCCTTACAACCCCATACAAAACAAACCTAGGACTTAATAACGCTAGTCAAAGCATCTTCTTTTCTCCACCTTTATTTTATTCCAACTTTTTTAAGTTCTGGATTGATGCACAATGACTGGTTGGTAAATTTCCTCTACTTTCTGTGAAGTGACATATCAATGTTCCCCTTATTCTCTATTCTGCTTGCAGTGCCCATCGAACTGAACATGTATCCTCCCTTTGGATTGAAATCTCACTTAAGATGGCAGGAGTCCACTTCGCAGGGTACTTGCGGTCTAATGAAACACAAAATGTGCGGAGCGGTGGGATCAGGATTGAAAACCACTGTCAGAGCTGTGTTGTACTTTCATAACACTCATCATTAATGTGGAAAACTAGGAAGGTACAAGACTAAGAAGGACATGTGAAATGCTATTTCTATTAAAACTCAACTGTTCAAATTAAGATGATCAAATCACAAAGGAGAAGTCATGTTTGATATTTGTTGGAATTTATTGGTTTGAAACCAATGGTTTCTATAATAACAATCACAGAAAAACTATTAATATGAATTATAAAACAGATTGTTCCAGTCCTTGGGCTGACTGGTCAATAGCCATGTTTTATTTACGATAAACCCTTAGCAAAATAAACAATCAATAAACTGTCAGCAAAAGTAACTGTTTATTAGTAATTAAAAATGAGTGACCCCTTAAGGTGTTATGTTAAATTCAATACTCATTTATTTGTATAGTGCTTTTCACAATACATATCTTTTCAAAGCAGCTTTACAGAAAATTCAAGTTTCTCCATGACAGTTTCGATTAAATCTGTTATCAGAGGTGACTGTGTCCAAGTAATGTCCATATGTCAGAATTAGAAATGTATAGTTCTAAGATAATACAAATCATGCAGATAGCTAACATGTATTCATTTAGGCAGAAACAATATGCTCAATAAAGCAATTATTACAAGTTGTTAAGTCAAGTCACCTTTATATATATATATGCTTTTTAGAATACAGATTGTTTCAAAGCAGCTTTACAGTAATAACAGGAAAATAATGCAACAAAGTTTGTTTCTGCTATAGAGCCGATCTACTTTTGTTGTAAAAAAGTTATTCATTTTGTTCATTTATATATATATATATATATATATAGCTGCTCTGGAGAAAACAGTGATGTCATCATCCAGCTCAGTTCATATACGTATAGTGGTGTCAATGCAGAAAGATCAATAATATTGTTGAATATTAAGGTTTCATTAAGGAATAAAGCTGGTTTGCTGTGGTCCGAGACCGAGCGTGACATGACACTCAGATGGACATGGTCAGGCATTTCAATTAAATTCTAAACCTAATTTTTAAAGAAAACATTAATGTTTTGTCATATATTTGTGATAATAAATAATAAAGTGACTATATGTTTCGTTAATGCTCCACACTGTCTGACAAGTGATATAGTGTCCTAAAATTCAAAATCATTGATGAAATTGGTCACAATTTCTACTCTGTCTATTCTATTAGGCACCAGGAAGGATAGATGCTAAATTATTCTTAAACACCAGATGAAAAGTTTGTCAAGCATTGTGTTGTTTCTGGCCGTGTGTGTGTGTATCCTTTTGATCTTAACAGTTTGTGCTGCACATTTCACTGCGTATCTTTGTATGAGTCTTTCACAAAGTAATGCAGGTTTGAAAATGGTAATGCTAAAATTCAGTGTGACTGTTTATGGCAAAAATAAAATAAAAAATCATTATAAATTGACATCACGGCAAAAAGTGTGATGATGCAACAAGAATTAGAAGATTGTCCTGACATTCTTGCATAAACACAAGCTACAAGCTAATCATAAATGTAATTACTGAAGGTAAACTACAGGAAAATTACTTTTCACTGCAATTTCCTGCCGAAATGAACACTAGTGGCGGGGAAACGTCCAAAAATATTCATTTTTCACACTATATTATGCAATGACCTCAAAACAGTGCATCATTTGTAAACCTCACATTTGCATCACATAACCTTTTTTGATGTAGAAAACTTGTTTGATAGCTCACCTGGTACAGCATTGTACTTGTGATCGAACATGAGTTTTGCCATTCGATGGAAGAGCTCAAAGACTGGTAGAACCAAGCCTAAATCCCATGGTTGCATGATCCATCACAACAAACACTTTCAATGAGAACACCGAGAAACAAACTCAGGCTGCTTCAGTGTTTGTTGAAAGAAAAAATACTGCCTTAAGCACACTTTCTTTTCTTTATTCACTTCTTTGTTTGATTACAATCATTTGTACATGTAAGTATAATCATCAAAATACAATTCAAAGTGCTTTTGAAGCCAGGCATGCTTCTCCATATAAAATGGTTTCTTGTCACAAATGGAATTGGCATGCCGTGTTCAATGACAGTGGAGTATTAGAGACTTCATTTCCTCTGTCTAAAAGACAACTATGAAACATTTGTTGGGTATAAAAGAAGGACTTGCCGTAGAAACTAGAACATTCGGATGTCTGCATAAACATGTATTTATGTATTTTGAAAATCTGCAAATACACATAAAAAAGATCTTTGCACAACACACATCACATTATGTACATGACTCAAATTTGTTACTTCTGAAACATTCTCTTTTTTTATGGGTTACAGATCCCAAAGGAAAATGAATAAAAATATTAAATAATATAGATACATTCCACAGCACTAAATGCAAGAATCTCCCATTTAGATGTTAAATCAGTAGGATTTTGTTGTATATTTTATAATATACCAGTTGTAAATTTATGGATGTACATCCTAGGAGAATAAAAAAGATAACACTGATCTATAACAATCAATTTGAAGCTCAAATTGTAAGATAATTAACTAGAAAGCTTTTTATAATACTTATTTAATCATGGCCATTTTTCTATTTGTTTTGGGCTTTCCATTCTATTGGGTGTATCTCACACGAACATTTTACTGCAAAAAAAAAAAAAAAGGATTGAGGACAGTCTTAATAAAATACAGATGGTTATACAAGTAATTTGGCATTCCTTTAAAACACAAACAACCATTTCTGTGTGATGGCAGTGCAACAAACACATGATGTATC